TTTCTAGACATCTTGATTATCTTGAATATTACAATGATGAGTGTGATGACTGTATTTAACCTGTCCAGGGTCTAGCAGGCCTCTCATCAGTGCTGGAGATAAGCACCAGAACCATCGTGCCCCTGGCGGATAGATGGTATTTTAAAAATAATGAATAGAGGGCTACACTGGAACATATAGTCAATATATAAAACTCAATATATCAATACAGCATGAACCTCCTGTGTGTTATACAATATATTAACTTTTTGCATGATGCAAAGTTTAATTATTTTGGCATGATGAATTTCTCTTCGAAAGAAAGCTGGATGTTTGAAGAAACCCTCATGAGGAATCTCAAATCCTCTCTGGTTACAGCTCATGTAGAATATGTTAGAGTTTGTTTAAATAAATGACTCATGAGAGGCAGGGTAGGGCCATGCAGAAGTTTACATTCTATTAAAAGCTGATTTAATATTTTCAGAGATTGATCACATAATTCTTATATCTTATAGTAAAGTGCTTCCTATTTGTTTCCAACCAGTTCATGTTCATCTGCTATGTCTTATTAGATAGATTGATTGTTCCTTAAGTGTCCAACTTTATATTGTGTAATATTCTCTAATGTCTTGTAATAGTAGGATGTGAGTTCATTATTATATCTCATAATTCCTCATATTCCTCTATTAGTGACAGTATTTCTGATCCCACTGTATCATTTTGACCTTGAGATGTAGCATTATATAAACAACTAGCCGGAGGCGAGAGCTGACAGTTCTTCTGCAACTTGATAAAAGTTTTATGTATGTAGATATGTACTGGTGTCAAATGTCTAGATCTAATCGGTAACATATGGGGAAAAAAATCTTAAAGAAAGTTATTTCCATGAAGAGAGTTCACAGGATGGAAGCACTGAAGTGCACAGACATTAGAATTCAGAAAGCATCATTTATGCAGACATATTTTCTATTATTCATGTTTACCAGAAAAACAATTAAAGAAAATCTTACCAAGTTCATTTGGATGTTTTCTATATTCTAACTGCTTAGACCCTTATATTTTAATGAAAAGGAGGAATCAGATACTAAATTGTTTCTTCCAACACCTTTTCCACCCCAAACCTTTAATATATCTGAAAGAACATATTATTACATACTTGCTATAAATATAATTAGGTCTTATTTAACTTTTTTCTTTCTGTCAATAATTTTTTATATGATTAAACTCTTAGACAGATGGAAATAAATGCAACCCTTGCATGAACATTTTTAGATTTTCTGTCTAATTAGCGCTCAGGTTTAGTTCTACACAACTGAACTTCCAGGGTAACATGAGAAAACACAAAAACTTACACTTGCTGTACCCTTTTCAAAGATAAAATCATGAATTCTGAAAAAAAAAACAGGTTTCAAAAGTATTCATGTTTATTATTCAAGTAGAAGTATAAATCTTCTGTTTGAAAAGTTTTTTGTAGAAGTTAGAGTATCAACTTAAGCTTTTTACTCAAGTAAAAGTGTAAAAGCACCACTTTTAAAACTACTTAATGTATAAAAATGTAAAAGTAATGCTGGAAAAAAATGTTAAAATGCTTTACTCCATTACCCTGTTAGAAGAAAATTTTTCTACAATTCTGGAAGATAACTTTTATAACTAATCATAACAGTTTCAAATCTAACTTTGCATCTTAAAAATGTATTTATCTGTATGTGGCGAACAACAAGTTGGTACAGTACCGAATCCAAACACATAGAATTAATTGTCTGTAAGAAACAAATTATTTTGATGTTTTTTTTTGTTTTTTATACCAACTGGCCATTATAAAAATTAGCTTAAATGTAATAAAACTCACAAGTCTATATTTAAGAATGTAAGAAGTAGAAAGAAGAGATAAATGCAAAAAAAAAAAAAAAAAAAAAAAAATGAATAGAATAGAATAGAAGTAAAGGGATGTCTTAAAAAATAATTACTCCAGTAAAGTATAGATAATTAAAATTTCTATGTAAGTAAGGACACCTCTGGAAAAAACAGATGAGGATCGACTGGATCGACTGTGGGGCTCAACAGCTTTTGGATTTGCCACAGCTATGTGTCCCTGCTTAAACCATAATACTGCAATCAGATGGTTTAAGACGAAGTGCTGCTAGTTAAATTCCAGCCCATTTTTTGACTGACCCATTGCTGTAATAATATAATCAAAAATCTATTCATCATTAAAGATTCAGTATGTTAATGTTCAATTTACCAAATGATAATCTAATCAGAGGATTTAGGTCAAAATTTCCAGAATTTCCCAACAATTTTATAGTTGTTTGATTTAATATTTCTTTTGAAAACAAAAAAAAAACAGGTTATAATGAATTACTTAAAGGTATAGTGGAGGATTTCTGCGAATTAAAAAAGAAAAGCACAACCCTGTACCCGCTCCTGGGAGGGAACACCTATTAAATGTCTGTGAGAGCGTGCACAAACCCATTTCTCCTCGTGCATGCTCTGTTTAAAAGTTGCTGTTTGCATCGCTCATACAAGCTTACTTTCCAAAAGAATATTTGCAATGTTTCCACCATGTCAGACTCACCACCGGTAAGTGAAAATGGGGACGAGTACGTAGGATGGCCTTACGTAAACATATCACCATAATGATTGACAATCAGGAGAACCGCTTATTGTGATGATCCACCTGGAAAAAAACATCCTCCACTATACCGTTGATATCCAATTTTTTATTTTTTTTTTGCATGTACAATAACCCATTTTTGTAAAATGGGTTATTGTATTATATTTTATTATATTTAATCATTATAAAAAAATTTTAGAACTGTAAATTTACAGTCATATGTTTATATGACTGTATATATATATATATATATATATATATATATTTTTTTTTTTTTTTTTTTCAAGGCTGCACCTTTCAAAAAGATGAAATTGTTCAGAGAGCTGTTCCAGATGAAATTTGTTTTACACTTCTGTAAACAAAATGACAAATAAATCTTTCTAAATTTAAGACTTTTGCTGCATATTTATTTCTTAAATCTTGCACATATCTGGTATGCTACTTGTTTCTCCATAAAATATAAATCAAAAGTTGCCCTGGCCTTTTTTTGGGACTCAAGGTTGAAATATTCTGCCAATGGAATTAGTATTTTGGCCCTCAATAAGGGATTTAGATATACCGCACTTCAAATAAGATAATGGATATATTTTCTTTTTTTAAAGTAAAGAACATGTATTCCACTGGCGGTTTGTTTTACTGAGCTACAAAATCAAGTGCAAATACACTTATTTAAAGAAAATGTTACTCATTTGTTTGCTTTTTGCAGTGTTTTACTTACAACAGCATAATAAACGACAATGTATTTCATGTATTGATTATTCTTTGAATTTTTCCTCAGGAACGTTTATTACAAATACAAAAACAACACAACTTTTGGGTTTTGATAATTAATAATCACACACATAAAGCCCCCCCCACACACACTGCCCACCAGTTTTTTTATTGTTCATATAACATATTTGAATTGTACATTTACATAAATCTTCCTCATACTCTGCTTTTCTGGTGAATATAAGACGTCTCTTGGTGCCCAGCAAGAACAGAAAAAACATTTTAAACTTATTATCCTTTTTTATGTTCTGTAGAACAAGGCTATGGGGGAAAAATAAAAATAACTGAATAAAGACAGGCAGCATTTTTTATTTTATCAAATATTATTTACCAGTGACACAATGTCAGACAGCATGATTGTGCTGAGGTAAAGCAGATCATTTAAACAGACGTTTTACATACTTCACTGCATCCCTAATGATGACCTTGAAGTGCGATCCATCGCAGTACGGGGAGCTTTTGGTTTGCTTACAGGCACAGAGCATCACCGCCTTGTCTTTGTCGGAGGTAAAAAGGAGAGGAGATATATTTGGTGCTTTTGATCGGTGAGCTCCGTCGCAGAAAGGCTGAAAAGCAAGATAATAAAAAATAATTTATAGTTTATTCTTCATCTTCTACATAGAAATTCCCATCAAGCAGTGGAAAAGCTATCTACTAGTGTGCAGAATTTACAAGCATGAAATATAGATTCATACAAAAAAACCAAAGTGCTTGAAGAACTGGAAATAATCCTATTGATGCCACTTTAACCAAGAAAAGAGGATTTTTTTTGTCTTTTGTTGAAATGTGTTTTTGTAGAGTTCAGTTTGACAGACATCAGCATGAACAGGCTTTCATAAACCACCACCAGCAAACCATGAACCAAAAATGCTCCTGATATATGAAATAAATTCAGAATAAATATGCAAATCCCTTTGTGTGTCGTGGCCTGTGGCTTACTGAAGGGTGCATATTCACCCCTGATTAGATGACTTAAAGATAATTCAAAAGAATTCCAGGCATACATTTTAAACCTGCAGTCTTAGTGGGATTGAATGTTCACGTCTCAGACTGTATTATTGTTAGTGATATGGAACGCTGCATACTTTGTTAGTTCATAGCTCAAATCCTTCCCTAAATGCATTTTTTAAAGACACCGGGACTTGAAAGAGCAGAGCAAGAACCAGCTCTAGGGACAGTGGTCCAACTTCAGAGCTAGATAGATGTAGAGCACATCGATGTGTTACAGAGTTGATTTTATAAAGATGGGGGAGCTGAGAGCTCTGGAAGTGCTTCGGCCTAAAAAGAACCAAGCTCAGCGTTCCTGTCTCACCTGTCTCTTGCTGTGCCCACAAGCACACCAGGCATAGCGTTTCCCAGCAGACAGCTTCACCCTGTATGGGAGCCTGGCAGCGGGGACAGGCTGAGTGGACTGTAGGCTCCTCTGGACCTGGAGGAAAAGACGGCAGATATCCTGGTCACAATTCCTTTTAAAACCTCTAAATCTGTGTTCCAGTGCGGAGCCATGAGGAGGAGCTATTGATTACCCTGACTGTTCATGGTTGGACACTTTCTTTATGTCACACTAAAGGGGACAGGTAGGTTATGATTTGGAGGAGGAGAGATAGGTGACAAAAACACGGTCATAATGAGAAATGTAAAACACAATTTTGGATTCACTTCATTTAATTTGATTCTACAGAGAGAATTACAGCCAATGAAAAAGTTAAAAGATTTTAAAATTCTATTTCAGTTTATTATGGGAAAAAAGTCAGAATTCTGACTTTTTTTGACATATACAGAAGCAGACAGCGGTTGTGTCCCTCAGATACTTTTTCACTGTGGTTTCCCCGAGAAAACGAGTACATTTTCTCATTATCTAAATATAACGAATGCCATTTCTTTTTTGTCATAATGAGATGATTGGTGTGGGTTAAGACTGATTACATCCTTCAATAACAGCGGAGAGGATTTATAGGTATAAATCATGGCAGTCTGTGTGTTATTTTGTAAATAATCCTGTGTTTAACATTTAGGTAACAAGACAAGTGATTGGTTTGAGGATTTCCTTCCACTTCTGATTCATAAGCAATTAGACCTATGCTCCAGGTGTTTTCTGAACAGCCCTGGTGTTACACCTGAGTCCAGATTAAAGATTTTCATTGAAAAACAGTCAAATTTGTTTCTACTGTATTCCATGCAAGCCAATCATCCACCATGACTTGATAATGAGTGAAAAGAAAAAGGAAATAAAAAAAGATTGTTTGTGCACATGCAGTGTGGGAATCTCATTCATTACTCATACAGGTTAATCATCTCGTTATTTGAGAGATCAATAACTGTTTTCTTGTGATAACGAGACGATGATCTTGTTATCTTGAGAAAACAATGGTTTAATTGTTAAGATATGGTAGTTATGTCGTTATCTCCAGAAGGCCAAGGGAAAAAAAAAACTTGACTACGACCGCCAGGTGACGTCAATTGTTTACCTCGGGCGCGGTGCATCGTGGGAAAACCACCATATTAGGCGTAAAGTCGAGATAAGCCACACGCGGCTGTTCTTTCGGCACAATTATTTACCAGAAATGACACGATCGTGTTGTGTGAGAAGCTGCCATTCCCGGTGTCTTGCCAAAGTAGTTATCCCTGCGAAAATTTGTATCCCCTCGTCGGGATCGCGCACGGAGTAGGAAGAACAACCCGAGTTAACTCCACTTCAA